TATAGAGTGAGAGTAAATCCTCTCTGTTCATTTCCTCAATGATGCTGCTTATAGTGGCCTGAGGGATTCCGAGTTCCTTTAGTTTCTCATTTAGAATGTTTAGGGAATTTGACAGGCCAAGTTCATGAGCACTTTGAAACCCATCAATGATGGTCTGAATAGTGGTTGCTGGCAAGAGTAGCTTAGATTGCATTTTTAGGTAGAAAAGTGTAAGGTTCTGGAAAAAGAGGTTTTCATCTACAACTAATGGCATTTGTGGTTCATTATGTTCCTCAGCAGGTTCTGAATATGACTGACTGGTTCCTGGCAATGGCTCTGTGGCTATAGACCTGTCTAAAACAACATCATTTAAAACTGAATCCTCAACACTCCTATGTTTTCTACAAATATGTGAAGCAAAACTGGACACGTTTGTGAATGTGCAATCACAATCCCTAAATGGACATCTTGTTTCTAATCCTCCACTTATGTGCTTCTTCAAATGCCCAATAAGAGAGGCCAAAGTGCTGCACTTAAATGCACATACCTCAACTAGACATTTTAAGGGTGCATTAGTTGGTAGGGCTGACGTGTCAGGCAGTGTACTCCCCGCAGTCTGCGGGTTAGACCTATGCTGCCTATACATATGAATTTGCAGTCCCGTGTGTTTTCTGCACCTCCATGAGCAATCAGGCACACCACACTGGTATTGATAGTTGGGGACATTGCTATGCAGTTTGGTGTGCTGAACATAGCTATGGACATTCCTAAAGACATGCTCACACCCAACCAATTTGCAGTTGAACATTGTGAAGCATGTCAACTAGTCACTTACAGTGTGGTCAGCCTCGCTCTCTGGTGATCTAGAAAGAAAATAAAGAAGAAATTACACAAAGGCAACCAACAATACAATTTTAAGTTTGCATGCACATTGTGATCATTGTAAGTAAGCCTATGTTTAAAACAGCGTACATATAATTATAAAATGTGCAGTAGAGGCAGACAGGTATACCAGGCCAATATATTAACCTTTTTTGGTATTGGCCATTGCCCGGATTTTTATATAGGCAATATTAAAATAGATAAAGGCACCTGTGTGGCCTGCTATCTTTTAAAATGTGTTACAAAATGTATTAGCATTACAATTAACAGGCATATATTGACTATAGTGAGTAGAGGGGCCACGTTTACAGATTTTTATTTTGTTTTTAACAGTTATTTCCCTATGAGAAGTAATATATTCTGTGCGAGGCAAAAGTTCAAAACCTCAAGCCAATAACTTAGCCAAATCAGACTATTAGATTTTTTTCAAAAAGAAATGAGTCTTTACATTCAATGCTGTGGAGGAACAACCAAATCAAGTACTCTTAAAATAAGCGCAAGAGTTTTATTTCATTTTTATGTTTAATTCTCTGCCCAGGTTGTTGTGACTGAATACGTAAAATGATTTTTAAAAATTAATTACATAGAATAGGCATTAATTCATCAGACAATTGTATTTATTTATGTGTGTGTTTTCAGTAGCACTTTGAGATTTTTCTATCAATGTAAACAGTAATTTTTACAATTATTATTCATCATCAAAATGAAATAAAACACAAACAGCAATGCTCATGATTAAAACAGTAACTACCTTAGTCGCACCAGCAACAGGAACTACAAATTTGTGTGACACAGGTACAGAAGTATCAAGATGTCAGTCCAACCTAGAATACAGGCATACTCAAGTCAACACAGGGAAGCAAGGTGAAGAACACAAATTTTAGGTCAGAATGTTGTAGATAACAGTGATAAGTAGATAACCGATACTAAAAAAAACATTGCTAACAAAAAGAAACGCAGTGTTATGAGCGCCAACTAATCAGAGTGCCTTTCACTCTGTAGTTACTTTATCACACATATCTTGAATGGACTGCAGAGCAAGAGGAAACCATAGCCAAGGATTAGATAAGTATTCCTTCATTGTCCCACAGTTAGGAAATTTGTGTATGAAAGTATGAGCAGTTGAGTAGCAGAAGCAGTTAAAGAACAATAAAACAAGTATTTAAGAAAAGAAAGCACTCGGGTATATCTGGGAGTAGTATCTAAATAGGTTGAGAATTCCAGATGAATGTGGCGGCAACAGTGAAAATGTGGATGATAAATAGTGGAAATAGCAGCAGTGATCTCGAAGTCGGTAGTTACAAACACAAATACACCAATCTGTGTAAAATAACAGAGGGATTATTCAGTTATGATTAAACGAGGTGAGTCAGTAATAATCAAAGTGAGTCTGATGTGCATAATATATTAGTCATTCATTGTGCAGATATGACAGCTGGATTATTAATTATAGTGTGCAAAAATGACAGTACATTGGTTATACTTGCAATCAAATCAAATAAGATAATGAGTACAGTCAAAGTTCACACCCTGACAGAGATTTCTAAGGATGAGTGAGTACAGCATTATCTGTATCTGTTAACCATATTAATTATCTGTATCTTATACATATCTTATACATGTGCAAAATGAATGCACAGCAATTAATTATTTTTCTGCAATGAGATTCAACAGCGTTGGCTCCGTCAAAGCTTGATACTTTTCAAGCTTCAACGTTCAGCTGCGTCGCTTTACAAGCAGCAACCAATCAGAGCGCCTGTTGTTGTCATATCACTACTACGAGCCAGATTCCATGAAAAAAAAAACAAGCATTTAAGAATTTCAGCCATAGAGCATAAACTTATCGTCGTATTCAATCACCGCGAACCGTATGGCCCCTCCTGTCATGCCTAAACAGATCGGCATAACTAGGACTTCGTTTGGAAAAAGATTGGTGAAGAACTCTGCGTGTTGGATAAGTTTAGAGAGCCCCTCCCGCGCTCTTTCCCCCCTGCAGCAGGGGGGTTCCTGAGGCAGCAGCCAACGGTTACGGCAGACGTTACAAGGGCCAAAGTAAAAAAAATATAGGGCTTCAAATACGGGGCTTTATGCGCGCTGTTTGACGTATACGTTATGGCCAGTGTGAACGCAGCATTAATTGGCAATATCTTTGAGCGTTTTTGCATACAAAAGTGGAGCGCAACACGTCAGAAGTGCTCCAAGCTGCACCCGCTCCGCTCTGCGGTAAATCATGGGTCTGACATCGCTTTGCCTCACGGCACATCATGTTTCATTTGTCAACCCCCCATTGTTTCCATCAACAATAGATAGCCGCGCCTTCCCCCCCCCCCCTCCCCCTTAAAAAACGTTCCTGAGCTGGTAGACCAACTTCCACATGCAGCCTTCGATGCAACATTTTTAAAGACAATATATATGATCTGCGGCATGCAATAAACGTTCAACAAAAAGTAAATATCATTGTAAAAACAAAGTTGCTCACCTTCTTCACCGGCGGAGAAAGGGAAAGAGGGATTTCGCGCCTTCAGTTCAAATTAGTAGTTCGGTTAGAGGAAGTCTCCTCCCCTTCCAGTCTGCCCGTGGATCCGCCGGACGGAAAAAAGCAATAATTTTCTGGAACGTTTAATGCTCCAACATTTGTCCAGAAAAGGCAACTCAAGAGTTGTAGTCCACTACAAAATGTAAAATAACTTTTACCACCTAACAAAAATCAGCTCATCTTTGAACTTTTATGTCTTTAAATTTCATGAACATTATATGTTACATCCGTCATTCATTGTTCTGGCAGTATATAGGCTGCCTGTGTCACGTGACTTCCAAGTCAATATTTTACTGTAATGTTACAGTTTGATGGTGTGAAATCAGTGCACTTTTTACAGTTTTGCTGTGAAAATAAAATTCCTGGTTGTAATATTACAGATGGTTTTACATGGCAAGATTATACTGTAAAATAGGAGTTAAATGCTGTAAAATCCAAGGATATTTTATTTTTACATTAATTCAATGGGTTATTACAGGGAAACTTAATTACAATAAATTACTGTAAAATATTACTTTAAATTAATGTGAAATGCTGGTAATTTCTAACAGTGTAATGGACTGTTTCAGATGTATGACATTCTTTCAGTTCTTAAACTCAGACCTCTTTCACACGGAAACAGTTTTCCCAAAACCTTGTATCTGTCATTTCTACAAATATCAGTGACTTAGGTGAAGATCAGATCACATTTCGTTCAGAAACCCACATATTTCCAAAGGTTTCACATACTTTTTCTTGCAACTGTACAACAGTGAAGGGACAAACAACCAATTATTGCTTCATTAAGTGGATATTTCAATCATTTTAAGCATCATTTAGTTATTTATTACCCTACATGCTGATGACATCAACCAAAGTGTCTATAGTGTCCAGAGTTTATAGAAACAAGAAGTAGTCCTCTGACCGGAGCAGTATTCATGGCTATAGTCAGATGGCTAACTAATTAGTGTTGAAGGTCAGGAATGTTTTTACTCTAGGAATCTGTTTCAGACAAACCGTGGCAATACCAAAAGATGCTGTTTTGCAGGCTGGCCTAGCCACGTTCCATTGTAGCCACAGCAGGTCTACCATTGGCTCAAACCATTTTGTGTCTTGCCAGTCACAGTGTTTTATGTTTGTTGGGCGGGGTTTGCACCAGAGCTGCAACAGAGAAAACCCTCAAAGATAGACTCAGCTCAGGAACTACACTTGTTCAAAACTTTGCATTATTTAGGTTTGGACTTTTATTTGAGACACAAGCAACTAGAGGTACTTGAGTCCTTTATTTCTCCTTTGATGGTGTATGGCGAACCTGGCCCTGTTGACTGATTTCTGTAGCAATGATAACGTCATGTTGTCTGTTACTCTGATTGGTCCCAGCACTGTTCAATAGCATGTGGAGACTGTTTGAAAGACAACCGTGGATTCTGCTCCACCACAGAGCTCTGTCTATGGGTCTGGCCAGACTACAATATTTACATGTATTGGATAACTTTCCTGGCTAGATTTTAGCTCTATTTCCTGCAGAATGGTTCCAGCAAACTACCCTGGTTCCTACATTAGAGAACCCCAATGGAACACTATTTTGTCTGAGGAAGTGACCACGCTGGTGGATCAGCCTTACCCCGACAGGTTCGTCCATCTCCGGTGTATCCTACAGGACACCTCCCACAGTGGAATGCCCCATCTGGAGCTGGCCCACACAAGACGCCAGGAAAACATGGATGATCGGAGCAAGTTGTCACATGTATGTTGGTGGTTGTGCCACTGCTGACCTTCGAAAAGTTGGAGGTAACCTTGTGTGGCGTGGAATTGTAGTTTGGCTTGCCTGGAGTTGTTATGGTTGGTGCTGGCTTTAATGAAAGCACATCAGAACCCTCTGATTTGGATTCAACATTATCTCCATCAGCGGAGAACTCTAATTCAGGCAGAGTGTAGGATAGAGCGGTGAGGGCGGCGGTGAGAGGTCTTGGAGGGGTCCATGGTTTAATGTGGGTGGGTGTTAAATGGCTGATCTGTGGTTGGACTCTTTGCTCAGGTCTTATACTGTTAGCCTGAGAAGGTGGAAGCACCTGAAGGGTTGTACCTCCTTCAGTCTTCTAAAAAGCATAAAAAATAGGAAAGTTTAATATACCACATCATGACTGCTTGTCTGTACAGAAAGAATAGTCACCTGAAAAACCGGCTGTTTTACAGTCGTGATTCTTGATCTGGAGTACGTCCTGGCATCTGATCTGGAACTGGTATTTTCCTGCGTGGTGTAGGAATTTGATGAGACATCACTGAGTGTTGTTTTGACAACCCTGGCAGCAGAGGTGACTGCCTCCCTCCTCCCCGTCCTGCCTCCTCTCTCTGCTACGAGATCCTGACGAGGTGGACTGTCCGGCCTCGTAACTGACGAGGACTGGCGATTGATGCTGTACCTGGACGGAAGGCTGGGCAGGTGAAGGTGGGGGGCTTTGCTCTTAACTTCTTGTTGGTATCGGATGGGTTTGCCAAACGTCTGCTGCTGAGGGAGGAGATTTGATGCTGGGGAAAAAACAGGATGTAATGTCTGTGCCTTTGCTTTTTATTTTTTGTGAGCTTATTGTTTCGCTTTGAATTTGGAGATAATTTGAGGTGTGTGTGTGTGTGTGTGTGTGTGTGTGGTGGTGGTGGTGGTGGTGGTGGCGGGGGGGGGGGGGGGTATCATGCCATAAACAAAGCCAACTACTCTGCTGTCTTTCATATGTTAGTATAAGAAAGCCAATTATTGGCTACAGCTTAGGCTTTTAGGGCTGCTTAAACAGGTTGGTGGCCTCAAGTTAAGCCTAATTTATACTTCTCCGTCAGCTCCAACAGGGACACGCAGGCACGCACGGAAGGAGATGTTTTGCCCTCATACTTCTCCGTCTCCTGGGGAGTGTTGCAAAACAATTTCCTGCCAGGACAACAGAGGGCGTAGCGCTGTTCTGTGGTATCCTGTCATGTATCCAGTCCAAGATAGTGTGTTTATATTGTGTTTTTGTATATAAGAGACGTTTTAACACGGACAAATTTGTCTCTCATTCTCCTCCACCTCTTCATGGGCTCGCCACCTCTAAACCCACGTTACCTGTCATTTCCATCCACAAATAAAACGCTTGCTGCGTATCTTTTCACTCCTCCAGTCACGGGGGATTAAACGTTCATATTTTTAGAGTTTTTTTCGCGAGGCATTCTTCAAGCTTCTCCGTGTCTGCCGCTAGTTATCCTCGGCTCTCTCTATGTTTTTGAGGGCGCAATGGCAGCGGTGTAGACGACAGCGGTGCCCTGACCAATCACAAGCTTGCATTCTCTGTCTCGACAGATGGATGTTTAGAAAAGAGAGCTCGACTCCGTCCGTCCTTGCGAGGGCTCTCCAGCAGGCCCGCAAGGAGGGATAATGGCGTTGCGTGTCTCCGCACTGACACAGACGGAGAAGTATAATTTAGGCTTTATCCTGCAAAATATCTTGATAAACTTGGGAATTCATTTTTCACGATTGCAATCGGTCCCAAACCATGATGCCCCCACCACCATACTTCATAGTTGAGATGAGGTTTTGATGTTGGTGTGCTGTGCCTCTTTTTCTCTACACATAGTGGTGTGCGTTTCTTCCAAACAAACTCAACTTTGATTTCTTCTGTCCACACAATATTTTGCCAGTACTACCGTGGAAACAGCCTAAAAATGTGGACAGCAGCCTGTTTACCTCACAGAATGTGGTTACACTTCTCATTAACCATAGAGTAAAAATAATTGTAGTAAGAAAAGGTCAAGAATGACCCAGTTTTAGTTATTGTTGAGTTTGCTAAAGTCTGCCATCTTGAATTTGCTTGAGATAGAAGGTTTGATCAGCTGTGAAGAGTCGTCCCCCCCCCACCCCCCACCCCACACACACACACAGCTGCCTTTTACAAACAAACCCAGGTAGACTTTATTCCCCCAAAGAAACCTCTGAAACATGAACTCTCCCAGAAACCATCCAATATTACTGTGGCTCATTCTTCTGGAGGTTTGAGTCACAACGATCGATGTTGTGTTTAAAGGAGCAGTCCTGCAGCCAAAACAATAAGAGTTACCAGTTCATGTCATATTTGAGGCGTCTGCATAAACACTCCGACCCTGTTGGTCAGATTCCCAACAGGATCCGTAATAACGGGATGAAAGCAGGATTCCTCCCAAATTCCTGCTCCACTCATGAGAAACAACTCTAGGCTGAAACGTTGTGGGCGAGTTACATTTAGGCGTCTCTAACCACTCGTGCTGATTTATCCACAGCATTGAATGAAATTCTGTTTGATCAAGAAAAAACAAAGAACATGAGTGGAAACAGAACCTCCAAACCCTCATATCTCAGGCAGGAATCCACACGACATCTTTTTTCTGAGACAATAATTCACCATTAATTAAGAAAATATGTTTTCTATCTGTATTTTAGGCACTTTGAGAGAACATAAAGTCATTTATCACAGTAAAAAAAAAAACACTTTTTGCATTCAAGACCTAATGGAAGAGAAAACATTTCCTACCTTCCTTGGAGGTTTTGGTGCAGACTCGACCATTCCCATAAAGTCCAGGAGGGCAGCGGCCGCAGACGTAGCCGACGTGTGGAGGTCTGCGGTTGATGCACTGCACCCCTGGGAAGCAGGGCCTGCTGGCACACGTTGCCGACACGTTTAGGGCTGGAGAAGGAGCCCATCCTGGGAAATGTAAACTACGATCAGACCAAATGTCCATCTCTAAATGTTAAAAAGTTGTCTGGAGATCTGGGACCTACTCTGGGGTCCTGACCCCAACCTTGCGAAACACAGGGAAACTTCACCCCAAGGGATCAGATGGATTCTGACAATAAAAACGAGATTGAATAGAAACTGTTCATTTCACCTGCAGATGTTCTGCTGGCTCCAGATGTTGTAATGGAACTGAAAGTGACTCCAGCCCTGGTTTTAGATGGGTCCAGTTGGACTTGTTTACTCTCTGAGATGTTTATGGGTGTGTTGAATGAGCTCAGCTTTCCTCTCCCAGCTTTTTCAGACAGAAGAATGTTCTCTGGTGCATCTGCTTTGACCTTTATGTTGGTTTCCGGTGTTTCGGGGAGTTTTGCATTGGAGTAAAATCCTGGGATGGACTCAGCTCTCTGGGTTTTGTTGCCCAACTCGGTCTTCACCTGTGACGAGGTTCCAGTTGAGGTTTTCTGAAAAATGTTAATTTTGGAGGCTTGCAGCAGAACGTCAGACACCTGGAGAGTGGTTGTATGATGGAGAGGCGTTGGAGTGATGGGACCAGGTCTAAAAGTCTCTCCTTAGAGAAAAACAAAGAAATTCACTTTGGATTTCCTTGTAGCATCTTTTCGTTGAAATGTTCTTAAGATGCGTTTAGAGCAGTGAGGAGGTTTCTTAGTGACCGGATCTTCAATGAGAGGCTCAAGTTCGTTTCAAGGTCGTCTTTACTCACATTTAATACATTTGCAGTAGGAATGAATGGTTTGTAAGTTGTAATGCTAACGGTTAGCTTCTACTAGCTGAGACATTCTTTGCTGTTTCCTGGATGCTAAACCAACAACAGCCTTCCCAAAATCAAGATGGGTGAGTCCATGAATGTTAAGTGACAGTGTCCAAGAAGCCTGACACTGATCTGTTCTGCTTCTACCAAACCAAAGCTGTTAGTAAAATCCAAAGTGGATCCCTGTGGGATTCTGGAGGCCAGGTTCAGACCACAAACATGTCAACTAAACAAATACAACACTAATTATCTAACTTCCGATCTCCAGAACGTGCAACACATTCTCACACACGAAGCGGCTAAAACTGACGAAGGGTGACCAAGCGTTTGTTTCCGATGCGTTGGGAGCCCGATTTTACCAAATTGTGACCTTTACCCTGTTGCAATTTAACCTTCCCCTCACCCCCATCCTAATCTTAACCCACTTGCGCATGCAAAACTTCATTTCTAGTTATCTCGTTCCTCTCAAACACGGCTGGTGGGAAATTCAGAACGGGAAACTGGGTTAAGGTTAGGATGGGGTGAGGGGCCAGACGAGCCGGCCAGAAGGAAACATGGTGTCCCCCAAAGACGCTACACCTGCACCCTTTGTACTTTTATAGTTATAGGTTTTTATCTCACCAGTGCAAGACGTTCCATTTCCCAGCATGCCTTTAGGGCAGGGTCCACAGTGGTAGGAGCCAAAGCTGTTGAAGCACCGGACTCCTGGAAAACATGGTTTCCTCTCACACTCATTGATGTCCTCCAAGCACGTTAAGCCTGCCGCAGCGCACAAACCAGATCAGAGGGGACCAGAACCTGCTTCTGCTTCTGGATTCTAGAGCTTCTCACCTCTCAGCCCTGCAGGACAATCACACCTGAACCCATAGGCCGTGCTGATGCACGCTCCTGCTGCGCACGGTGCTGACAAACACTCGTCTGTGTCGTCATGGCAGCGCTCACCCTTCTGATCGTGGGGGCAAGCACACAGGTACCTCCCGCTGCCCGCAGGGAAGTTGATGTCCGTTACACAGGTGCCTCCATTCGGACAGCTACATGGCATGACCTCCACCTAGATCACACCAGAAACACCACCATTATTTAATAAACCTCCATTTTCTTTTATTTCATTCATTTCATTTATTTATAAAACCCCTTCTGCGACCAATGCAGACGCCCAAGGTGCTGAACACAACACAATAAAAACATAAAACCATCAGAATAAAATATAGCAATCGTAAAACCAGCATAAAATCAATTAAAAGAGGAGAGTAAAAGCAAAAAATAAAATCCAGAAAAAGATTAAGAGGCTGGGGCATCGAAACCGGGTAAAATTAGCTAATCCTGAAAAGTCTTGACAAAAAAATGGGTCTTAAGGCGAGTCTTAAAACCCCCCAATGAGGGTGACTGACGCACCACCAAAGGTAACTGGTTCCAAAGCGCAGGTACCAACACCGAGAACGCACGGTCCCCCCGTGAACTGCACTTAGTGCCTGGAACGATCAACAGCTCCCTGCCGGCTGAGTGAAGGGCCCGCAAGGGGGCATGCCTATGCTAATGGTTGCCAAGATAAGCTGGAGCAGTTCCTTGTAAGGCCTTGTATGCCAGTACCAAGACCTTGAATTTTGCCCTGTATTGCACAGGCAGCCAATGAAGGGATGCCAACACAGGGGTGATATGTTCCCTGCGCCTAGTGCCTGTCACGAACCTAGCAGCTGAGTTTTGTACTAACTGCAAGCGTGCTACCGCACCCTGACTAAGGCCGGCATACAGTGCATTGCAGTAGTCGAGCCTTGAAAGAACAAAAGCATGTGTGACAGTCTCTAAATGTACTCTGGACAGCAGGGGCTAAATTCTGGCTAGTCGGTGCAAGTTAAAAAAACACGATCGCACAACCTGGTTGATTTGCGCGTCGAATTTAAGGGCTAGTTTTCTTGTCCGGGGATTGGACCGCCAAGGCTCCCGCCTTGGTCTGCCACCCGATTCGCATTGCACCGGACCCTTCATGTTCCTCCTGCGGGTGGTGGGTCCACAGTTGGACGAGCCCATGTATCCGGTTCGGGCTGGGCCCGGCCGGGCCCCATGGGCGAAAGCCCGGCCACCAGGCGCTCGCTCACGGGCCCCAACCCCAGGCCTGGCTCCAGGGTGGGGCCCCGGTAACCCTCCGGGCCGGGTACTCCGACTCTTCGTTTTAACCGCCATGAAAGATCCTTCGAACCGTTCTTTGTCTCACCCTTCACCTAAGACCAATTTGTCATGGGAGACCCTACCAGGGGCACTAAGTGCCCCAGACAACATAGCTCCTAGGATCATTAGGGCTCTCAAACTCCTCCACCACGATAAGGTGACGGTTCAAGAGGGAGCTGAGCCAGAAAGCCAGGCTCTCGATTTACCGGTCGATCTACGTCCCAATCCTCACCTATGGTCATGAGCTTTGGGTAATGACCGAAAGAACGAGATCGCGGATACAAGCGGCCGAAATGAGTTTCCTCCGTAGGGTGGCCGGGCTCAGCCTTAGAGATAGGGTGAGGAGCTCGGACATTCGGGAGGGACTCGGAGTAGAACCGCTGCTCCTCCGGATCGAAAGGAGCCAGTTGAGGTGGTTTGGGCATCTGATCAGGATGCCTCCTGGACGCCTCCCCGGGGAGGTGTTTCGGGCATGTCCTGCCGGCAGGAGGCCCCCGGGTCGACCCAGGACACGTTGGAGAGGTTACATCTCCAATCTGGTCCGGGAACGCCTTGGGGTCCTGCCGGAGGAGCTGGTGGAGGTGGCCGGGGAGAGGACGGCCTGGAACTCCCTAGTTGGGATGCTGCCCCCGCGACCCGGACCCGGATAAGCGGAGGAAGACGAAGACGAAGACGAATTTAAGGGCTGATTCCAGTTGTACTCCCAAATTTTGGATGGTGGTCTTCATGTTGGATGCTAAAGGGCCCAGATTCACAGCATCGCATGGGCGTGTAGACATGCCAGGGCTAAGTACAATTACTTCAGTCTTAGCGTCATTCAGATGTAAAAAGTTTGTAGCCATCCAGGAGCGCACATCCTCTAAGGCATCTACAAGCTTTGATATTGACCCATCGACCCCCCGCTGAAGGGGGAGGTAGATCTGACAGTCATCAGCATAAAAATGAAAACGCATGCTGAACCGCCGAAGAAGATTCCCCAACGGTAGTAAGTAGATGGCAAAAAGAAGCGGACCCAGTGCAGACCCTTGTGGCACACCCCACTTGAGTCCCGCCCAGGTCGAGGAGGTTTCACCTACACTGACACAAAAACTCCTGTTGGATAAGTAGGAGTGTAGCCATCGTAGGGCTGCACCGGTAATTCCAGCCCTTTATCACGCCTCCTGCTGCTTTACCTCCACTGTGAATGTGCTCCGGGCATTGCACTCATCAGAGACGGTGAAGAGCAAGAAGAATCTAGCCGGATGAACCTCCTCCTCTCTGGGAAGCGGTGGGACTCTCCAGATGAGAAGACCAGCAGGGGAGAGCACAGCCCCCACTGGACCCTTCTCCAGCTGAAACAGGAGCGCTGACCCTTCCGGATCTGACGCCACAAACTGGAAGACAAATTTCTCCCCGACGAACGTCCGCAGGCTCGTCTGGGGTTGATGGAAAGATGGCGGCTGGTTGACTGAAACCAGACAGAGAAACAAAAGCATCAGACCGTTGTGTGATGATGTGGCTCACCACCAGCTGTTCACACCTTCTTATTTACACCTACAAGTGTCTGATGACAGCAGGTTCCTGTCCTGTAACCAACTCTTTATGAGCAAAAACCTTAAGGCTGTTTCTGGAAGAGTCATAAACACAAATCTCCATATTTGGGAGTTTTTCCTCTCAGCTGCAGCCCCTGATGATTCAGATCATGCAGCATCCTCTAGGGCCAGGCCACAGCTTTTGCTTCTAAACATCTACGATGACAGAACACTGACGGCACCTTGAGGCGTTTTTAGTTACGAACCGTAGAAACAAAAATGGAGACATTTTTTTTTCAGTCCTAAAACTTTTCATTTAGTTATTTTTCAGATTTTTTCCTCAAAGTTTCTTTTCCTTTTGCTAATCTGGAGTTAACTTAGAGGTGTGTATGATCTGAATTTGTTAGAAATTATTGGAGCAGAAATACCAAAAGATAAAACTTGTTAAAGTCTAAAAACAGATCTCCTTCCTCTTGTCTCGTTTCACATCATAGTGCTAAAGAGGTAACTCTCATCTATTGCAATGCTTCCTCAACACTTCCAGTGTGATTATGAGTCTGGGTGAGTCAACCATGTGATTTAACCCCCCTACCCTCACCCCCTGCCCCCCACTCAGGAGTGGTTAAACGGCAGGTCAGGGCATGCTAGGAAGCATCCTTTGATCTGCTAATGGAGACAAACAGCATCACAGCTGGTCTCCCAGCAGAGCAGCAGCTAACCTCTAATACAGTAAATTAGAGCATTTTTTGGAAGTCTTGTTTGTCTCTTTAAAGCAGCCGTTTGAGTTTAAACAACCATAAAGAGTTTTACCTTTGTTCACAGACCAGGTGAATTTGGAGGTGTCGGGGTCACAGACAAGGCAAGGACTGCTGGGATTAACTGTTCCTGCTGCAAAACACATCCCATCTATGTTGCACGAGCCGTCCTAGAACCAGCAAGCAGGACAAAAGTTTGTGCTTGTGGACCTTTCTCAGGTTAGGAGCAGGAACTCTAATCTCACTTCATCTGGTGTTTCATATTCACCAGCTTTAGCACCCACGTGTGCCTATTTAAGTGTGTGTGTGTGTGTGTGTGTGTGTCTGTGCGTGCGTGTGTGTGTGTGTGTGTGTGCATGTGTGTGTGTGTTTGTGTGAGTGTGTGTGTGTGTGTGCGTGTGTGCACGCGTGTGTGTCTGTGTGTGTGTGTGCGTGCGTGCGTGTGTGTGTGTGTGCATGTGCGTGTGTGTGCGCGCGCGCGTGTGTGTGCGTGTGCGTGCGTGTGCATGCCTGCGTGTGCGTGTGTGTGCGAGTGCGTGTGTGTGCGTGTGTGTGCGCGCGCATGTGTGTGCATGTGCGTGTGTGTGCATGTGCGTGTGTGTGCGCGCGCGCGTGTGTGTGTGCGTGCGTGTGCATGTGCGTGTGTGTGCGTGCGTGTGTGTGCGAGTGCGTGTGTGTGCGCGTGTGCGTGTGTGTGCACGTGCGTGTGTGTGTGCACACGTGTGTGTGTGCGTGCGTGCGTGTGCATGTGCGTGTGTGTGCGAGTGCGTGTGTGTGCACGCACGTGTGTGTGTGTGTGCGCGCGTGCGTGCGTGCGTGTTAGTTCTGAGCTGTTCCTGTATCAGCTTTTCAATGAAAACATCAGGACCCCCTGGTCGGCTGACAGCAGCGTGAGAGCTCATTTAATGTCTTCCTTTTAGGATTATGGTTTTCAATAATAATGTCAGAATTTGAACCCGAGATATTACCTCCTGAGACGATGTTGTCCACATTTGAGAACATTGGCTTCTTGTATTATAACATTTGATTCTTTAGACCTTTTTGTTATTATTTAGCACCAGAAGAGAAATGATGACAATTGAAGACGAGTCATATGCAGTACGTTGACAAGTAGATAAACACATTTCCCTGTAATATCGAGTTGTTGGTAGTCGTGGTTACTGAAAAATTAGCTTGAGATCTTTTAAGGGATGATTTTATTTTTCTAATTCAACGTTAGCATCATTAACTCAGTGTTAGCCTTTAGCCGTCTCTACAGGATATAAGAGTAAAACAAAAAGATGCTGTGGCTTCTCAGGAGCACGAGTAATAACTTCTGGGCATCTCCTGTTACGACCACTGCATCCTGTCCATAATGTTGCTGCTTTTTGTCGAATTACAAACTTTGCAACTTTATTGGCTCAAATACGATTGGCTCTGGAACCAGGAACTATGGAGGCGGGGCAGATCGTTAAAAAGTACTACATCCCTTTTGTGCCTTTTTTAAAAGGAAAAAGACTGACAACCCCCCAACAGGCTGAGAAGGAAATCTGCTTTAATGTAACTTTCCTTCTAACATCACTGAGACATTAGACTGTTTTGATCTGTAAAATTCTATCTTACTGAACCATTAATTTGCCTCTGAAGTTTAATGTTTAATAAATATTAAGGTCATACGATTAAACGATCTAAGCAATCCACGACAGTATTCACAAATACTATAAGTTAACCTGCTGAGCATGTAAGTTACCTTTAACTTACAGAGTCCTGAGTGTGATGCCTCGCAAACCTGGCAAACACCATCATAAATCATCCACACCTTTGCCTGGCTGTACTGGGAACCATCGTTAGTTACCTGCAACAGAAAAGAGATGGTTTTATTTGCTCCAGGCAAAAGCTTCAGCAACCAAACATTAATTAGATTTGATGCCTTGATCTCCCATCGTGTGTAAGGTTTGTCATCCATCATGAAGTCTTCTGTATTGACAACAGTGCTGCTCAGTGCTGGAACAACACATTCCAAAACCTTAGAGCTGAGGAACGTGGCTTTTGTTCGCTGTTGCTCTCCTGGAACCCAAACGTTGTTCACGTACTGTTGAAACAAATCAGAGGGATAAATGGACACTTTGAAGTGATGTGTTTGACATGAGACATTCTCTTTCCTCACCTTCAGCCTGGTGGCAAGACAGCTAAGATCAGCAGTGTCAATGAAGCCAAGACCAAAGACATGGACTTTATGGCAGTCGAAGGTTCGGATGTCACACAGACCATTGTTTTCTAAATCTGTAATCTCAATTGGTTGGCCTATCGGAAGAATGGTATGTAAGTAATTCATTGTTCAGATAAAAAAAGAGAAGCAACTTGCTATGACGGGTAACTGGGCTCGACAATTCATAAAAGCATTGAGCGACTGTCCACAGATACTCACTAATAGCCAAGCTGCAGTCATGGAAGCTGTAGTTTGGGTAACACTGGCAGCCCCACTCTCTACACTCTCCATTTCCATTGCAAAGGTTTGGACAGCGCAGTGCCACGACCACTTCCTCAGCAGCACCTAGTGGGCTAGATGCCTCCATGGTTGTTGGGATCCGGTTTTCTAGCAGTTGTCTTTCACACTCATTCTCCAGAAATGGCAGCAGTGCGTCCTCCCAGTTCAGGTCATCTTTGAGCTGTAGGTCCAGCATGCAAAGGTTAACTGCTTCATCCAGGCGGCGTCCCAGCAGCCCTCGACATGCTGCACCAACAGTGGAGTTGGACAAAGCCACCTGGCACACCTCCAGGGCTTTGGCTGAGGTCAGGCCACTTGGGGTGGGCCAGTGGGGTTGTACTTCTGGTCTAGCTTCTGCCAAGTGATCTTCTGGGAAAAAGTAGGCAAAACGTTCCAAATCTTCTTGGCTCAGGCTCTGAGCAGCAAAGACAGGGCGGAATTCAAAGGAAACCTGTCGCTTTGGTCTGTCAACAGAAAGCAGAAGATCCTCCCTAAACTCACCAGCCAGTTCAAAATCACCATCGTTTTGAGTTTCCTGTCCACCAATCCAAAGGTGCTTTCTTTCCAGAGGATGACTAGTGAAGACAGACATTTCCATGATGCTTTCCTCTCTTTTAGGACTCTTGATGTATTCCGCTGTTGTGTCCATGAATGGAAACACAGATGTGTAATCCACATTATCATATGTGATGCAGTCAGATTGAGCCAAAGAATTGTGTAGCTCCGCCATCCCAGAAAGGCTGTATTCCCTGTGGCACTGACAGAAAGGCCGTCGGACCTTCTTCCTGATCCCAGGAGGCGTTTTGTCAAATAAACTCTCACCAGGAGCTACCCTAACATGAAAGAAGGGAAACATTATAGTAAATAACTTTGGAGAGACATGACATGGTCTAGGCTTAAATTCATTCAAGTTTTAAGGAAATATTTCTGACCTCCAGTCCTCAATGAAGTGATCCAGGTCATCAGAACCATAAAAACCACCATCAGTGGCCTGGAAGTCATTGTTGCTATTGCGGTCAAATGTCCCACAGAGGCCTTGAGTCTTGCCATAATCAACGCTGGGTGCTCTGACAGACAGACTCATCCCCCAGTCACTCACATCCATCCTAACAAAGGCCCCGGATGGAAAGATCAACTACAACAGGACAAATGAACTAGGAGTAACTAAGAGTGACTAAGAACCAAAAAGACCTGCATGCAGTTACTTGTATAGGTTTGACAGAGGATCAAACGCTCTTGAAAAGTGTTAAAATATTTGGATACCTACGGTGACCTTCTTGCCCTGATGGGACTCCTGGACCCTGACCCGGCTACCCTCATCCCCGAGGGTTTTCAGGGTAAGCTGTGGTCTGGTTTCTTGAAGCTGGCCATTGCACATGTCAAAGATGGCTACATCATTCTCTTCTTGCACAGCAACACCACAGCTGCAGGAGACAGAGTAGTGTCGGCTACCGCAGTCCCACTGTCGAGAATGGACCTCAAACTTCCTCACAAGGCTTCGGTAAAGGACAAAGGTTCCAGTCTGGTGGTTCTCATAGTGTCTGGAGATGACACGTTTATGGAAAGGATGTTAAATTACTTGTAAACTGGCAACAATACCTGTTAAGATTGTACATTACCTCCGATCAAGTGTAATGACATGCGGATCAGTCAGTGAGTAACAGATGGAAGTAGGGAGATCCTGGACCATGACCTGAGGGAAGTGAGCAGGATTATTCCAAACAGGTTAGATAGTTTTTGAAACCACAATCCATCCATCCATTGTCTGAACCAGCTTTGTCCACCTAGGGTCGCGCGGGGGTGGGGGGTGGGTGCCTATCTCCAGCAGTCAATGGGCAAAGACAGACCTGCAAAGATTTTACTCAAAAACCTCAAAGGATCTCCTAAACCTGACTGTTTACAAGGTTTTCCGATGTGAACAAAACCTCAATTTATTTTAAATAGTAAAACTGTCACTATGAATATCAACTGGCCTTCAGGGATGATGGGACGTAGCTCTTCCAAAGTCGTGGTGCATCAGGTCCAGGCTGGGCAGAGACCAGGCTTGGTCGATTGCCATCGCGTGTGAAATCGGTCACCGCGGTGACAAAAAACGTTGCCCCGCCACAGCTGCCTTCCTTGCAGGTTTTGGGTCTAATCTCCACCTGGCAGGCCGACAGCACCACACTGGAGACATCATGGCCAAGACTGTCTGTTGGTGTCAACATGGATTTAAATTGGTGTTAAGTGATGGAACAGCTGTCTGATGAATTGTAATAACAACCTCCAACCAGCCCAGATGGGCTGATGTACGTCAACATGGGAAAAAACACAAAAGGCAAGGTAGGGAAGATTGTCGGATAGAAGAAAAGACAAACTTACTCTTTGTAATTATATCAAATGATCTAAAATATTTCAGTTTAAGGTACATTCGTCCATTTGATCCTTACTTTTGCTCAGAATTTGCTAATGTTGTGCTGGGAACAAATAAAAGTTATTAGAAAGTTATTAAACACAAAAGGCAAAAGGAGCCAAATAATGTGATGCAACCCCAGTTTTTACAAGTTTCTACCCCCCCATGAGGCAGAAAATATCTAACTGGTCAGATATTCACCTCAGCGTCTCGTGAGGTGGAAAACTCAGTGAAAATCAGGCACACACACAGCAAGCAATCTGCTGAGCAAACGGTCGTTCAAGGCCAGTTGCTCATCAGATTGCTATCGCGTGCGGCAGGCTTTATCCAAGAGTAGGAAGCTTATAAGTCGTGCTGAAAATTATTGTTTAGACATCTCAAGGGGCTTAAAGGAGATGCACAGTTGGATGTCATCTGCATAAAGATGGTAGGAAATTCCTTTTCAGGAGCTCAGGATGTGCTGAAGAGGAATCAGATAGAGGAGGAAGAGTAGAGGCCCCAGCACAGAACCTTGTGGGACACCATGGGTGAGGGAGGTGGGGGAGGACCGAAACTTGGAGATGGCCACAGAGAAGGGCCGCTCAGAGAGATAAGAGGAGAACCACTCCAGAGCAGATCTGGATAGGCCTGCCTCTCAGCCTCTCCAGTAGTAGGTGATGTTCAACTGTGTCAAAGGCTGCAGTCAGGTTCAGCAGGACCAGAACAAAACAGTCCCCTGCATCGCTGTGGGTCAGAAGGTCATTAGAGACCCTAAGAAGAGCTGTTTCAGTAGAACGAGCTCTACAAAAACCTGACTGGAAGCTATCATAGATGTTATGTTCATCAAGAGCAGCTGTGAGTTGTTTAGCCATAACCTTTTCCAAGATCTTGGAGATGAATGGAAGTTTAGAGATGGGTCTGAAGCTGTTATGGAGAGAGGGGTCGAGACTCGGTTTTTTAAGAAGCGGGTGGATTACAGCGTTCTTAAAGTAAGCAGGGACCTGACTAGAGACCAGAGAAGCATTAATTATAGAGAGCACGCTGGGACCGATGGACAGAAAAGCACTTTTAAACAAAGATGAGGGTAAGATGTGGAGGGGGCATGCAGAGGTCTTCATAGAGTTAACTAGTTTGGTTAACTCAGGCAAAGAAACAGGAGCAAAGCTATCTAGGATGACGGGCCTGGTTGGAGTCGGGAGAGGTGGCGATAAGGCTGAAGGAGAGATGCTAGATCTAACCTTATTGACTTTGTCAACAAAGAAAGACAGAAAGTTTTCACAGTCTGCAACAGAGTGGATGGGGGTTGTAGGAGTGGCAGGAGAGACGATGCTGCTGATGGTGTTAAACAGCACCTTGGGGTTCCCTGGACTGCATGGCACAACATGCAGTACTGGAGTGTTCTGTAGGGGCCACGGTAGAGTCCTCAGATAGGAAAAAAGCCAGGTTGGTACAACCAAAACTAACATGGTGTCAATAGAAGATACCAGTAACTGTTCAATTTTGAGATCACAACAGAAAAAAAGACAACTAAGGTGTCGTAGATAGTATGAAAGGCAACTTAACCAGAGACAAAGTCACCATGACGAGTGTGTCTCACTCATTTTCTCACCTCCGCTTACTGGTCACTCGTATAATGCAAACGACGCTTCAAATCAACGAAAGTCATTTAAAACACACAGACTTGTTGTTAAACAGCAAGAATATTCCAGCCCTATGACTTTATGACTACCTGGGGATAATTGTGTGTGTGTGTGTGTGTGTGTGTGTGTGTGTGTGTGTGTGTGTGTGTGTGTGTGTGTGTGTGTGTGTGTGTGTAAGCTTAAGTGGACACATTTTAACTTTCAATCTGCTTTTTGGTGAGCTGTGAGCTCCATCCCTGTGTCAGATGAATGAGTTTGTATGTTTTTCTACAGAAAGCTAAACATCAGTAAAAAATTGATGAAGTGATAATTAGACCTGGATCATGGACACTAAGAGCCAGAGGGACAGAACAGTGGTGGCCGAGGTTGGAGGTGAAGCAGGGGATGGGGACGGTGCTGTGGACCGTCACTTCATGCTCCTCGCTGTTCTCAGATATCTGCAGTGAATCTGGAGAAAACTTCATGTAAAACAAAAACTGTTTTAGCCTTTTATGAAAGTGTATCGTGTTCATAACAGCTGTCATATATTTACCTTCAACCCAGCGTAGAAACTCTCGCTTTCTCTGGGAGAAGATCTGGAGGAGTTTGAGTTGACTGTAAAAGTCGACACGCTGCAGGAGAACTGCAAAAAAAATCATTTTAACCTGCTTTAAACTTTACAAAGTCCAGTTAAAAGAAGAAAACTGGACTTTCAGACGGTTGATGATGATTAAAAGTCTACCTTCCGAGTCTCTAAGTTTTAACTCTCTTGTGTGGCTTTAAAAGCAAAAACCAAACAGACCTCTGACCCTGCTCAGCTGCTACATCAACATCTGGTAAAATGAGTGACTCCAGACCTCCTACATCTCCCTCCTGGTCCTCCATATCTGGCAAATGCTCAGCACTAAAGGGGCAAACTGAAAAATACATCACTTCAGTTTCTAATAGTGTAAGCTGATCTTAATAATTCTGCCTTGTTGTTCACAAATCGTTTCCTCTGGAAAACGAAGCCGCTGTGTGCTGGGGAAACAAGAACCCTGACATTTATGATCCTCAGGTGAGGAAGGTGGTCCAGCTCAAGCTGAAAAATGCATCTTTAATGATCTTGGATTTCCGTTGTACTTCCCATCTCGGATCTGATGATGTCTCTATTCTTCCATTGCACAAAGTTGACCTCAAAGACTGGTTCAGAAAAGGATTCTTTTTACAGTTTTTCTCAATTGCTAAAACACTAAAATCCATTGACTGAAGAAAGTTCTCAGTTGCTTGAGCTCATTAAGCTAACCGTTGAGCCTGTTGTCAAAACCTTAAACCGTTTCACATGGTTTAGCAAAACTCTAAACGCATTCTCCTTCTTAAAACACATTCTGCACTCTAATGTACATCATGTCATCCATAACGGTAAACACAAGTGGCACATTTACCCATAACAAAAGCACAAATGTCATTGATGGAACACAATCAGTCAAAATCGATTTCACTTGTTTCAAATGATGACTTTCAAACAAAATCGTTAACTTTGACTCAGCTTTTAAAATGGCCCATTGAGGGTTTAAATGCCGTTCTGTTTTGAGGCAATGAGAAGATTTGTCTGAGTAGTCATTGATATGCTACACTCCAATAACAGTAGTATAAAAACACATCAAAAGTCAGTCGGGTTTTCCATCGCTTTTGTTTCCTAGGAACATTTTCCAAACTTGATCCATTTCTTATCTTTTTGGCAGTTTAGAGGTTTAATAAAACCAGCCGGCGAGCTGCTTTGAGCGTTGTCTGCCTGTTTAAAGGAGGTTTCCTGGAATTCATTGTGAAAATTTCACTGGAGATTAATATAAATGGGACCCTTGTGGAAGAAGGCTTTCCTAACCTGCAACTGATTTAAGTTCTCTACCTTCCTCTTGCTTTACCCTAACTGGATGTGACACACGTTACCTCTCTGGTTTTACTTTGCGAAGCCAAAGAACAAAAAGAGGTCAGTGTGATCCATGGCTTATGCTGCCCGCTGAAGGGGCGAAGCCTTCCACATGTGCTCCCCTTGGTGCAATCTTGTCTGGTGAGAATTACCGTTTCTCCAAGCCTGAAGTGAACACCATCCATCTCCATCAGGGAGAAGGGCTTGATTGTAGATTCCTGCTTGATCTCAGCCTTCATCCTCTGGCCAATGTGCCTGGCCCAAACCACTTGGAACCCCAGCGTTTGGCTCCAGGGTGGTGGGATGTAGGAACACCTGAGGTGGACGCTGTGTCCGATGAGCTCCGGGGTGATGACTGGCCTGGAGGTCAGGGCTGGGACCATGACTACAAGCAGGCAGATGGGAAACAACAGCGGTTAGATTTTGATTTCTAGGAATGTTTGGAAAGAAAATGTAGGTTTTCTTAAAGGAACTTCTCTACTTCGTAATTGTTCTGAGTTATCCAGAGCTTCGTATGTCATGGAAGAGTCAGAACAAAGAATAACTGGTTTTCTGTATAGGAAGCCTAAGTTTACTCCTCTTCCAGATGACGGTGTGCCAACATTCTACTTTGTTCAGGCTGGCATTAGCAGTAGCTCAGGATATCATTAGCAGTAGTTCAAGGTAGCAGTAGCATTAGCTCAGTTAGCATTAGCGGTAACTCGGGATACTGTTGGCAGCAGCTCTTGATAGCATTAGCAGTAGCTCATGATTCTGTTAGCAGTGGCTCAGGATATCATTAGCAGTAGTTCAAGGTAGCGGTAGCATTAGCTCATGTAGCATTAGCAGTAACTTGGGATACTGTTAGCAGCAGCTCTTGATAGCATAAGCAGTAGCTCATGATTGTGTTAGCATTGGCTCAGGATAGCATTAGCAGTAGTTCAGGGTAGCGGTAGCATTAGCTCAGGTAGCATTAGCAATAGCTCAGGATACCGTTAGCAGTAGTAGCTCATGATTTTCTTAGCAATAGCTCAGAATAGCATTAGCAGTAGCTCGGGATACCGTTAGCAGTAGCTCAGAATGGAATTAGCCTGATGAGCTCAGGCTAGGGTTGTTTTACGGTTAATTTTGCCGTGACTATTTATTATCACTCACAGGTGTGTAGCTCCGCCCACAATCCGATTGCAAGTTACTCAATTAAGAACACAAATGAAAAGGAACAGATAACAATAGTCAACACTAAAAATGTTTTATTAAGGTGGGTTGGGGCCAAGCCCCCACAATGCGGCTCAAAAATTGAAGCAATCCCGGAAGTACCAAAAATTGCAGTTCCACCCTCATCCACTAGGGGTCGGTGTCAGAAGCGAGCAAATCCTCATTGACTCCCATGTTAAAAATACCAATTTCACAGCAAACATGTTTACAGCCCGGTTCCAAAACATGTTTTTGGTTTAAATTATCTAGTTGACACTCATGACAACTCTGAGGGGGGGGGTGAATTTTTTTTCTCACTCTTCTGTTTAAGTGTATTAAAAGCCTAAAATTCTGTATAATTAATGAGCATCAGACCCACATGACCACAGAGTTAGCTCCATGGAAAGGCCTCAGTAGAGCCTCGGTCTGGCCTGGAAACTGGCCCGGGATTTTGAGTCTCAGTGTTTTCCGATGTTTTCCACCCGGTTCTCCCCTCCCCGCAGCTTGGCGCATCTCTGTCGTCAGTTGATCCCAGCCTTACAGCCCCACCCTCAGCTCCACCTCTTTTCCTTTTTGTGGAATTGTCTGGGCTTGACGGAACCTGTGACACGGTCAAAATGGCGGTGGTGGCCACCTCCCATTTAGCCTCAAAAATGTGTTATTGGAGCTTATGGAAACCCATTGTCCAATATTTATATGTCGATGGTTGGGACATGTAAATATAAGAGTGTGTCAGGTTATTACATTTTAAACCAGCTGTTCTCAGAATGACCAGTTTCTCCTAGGTTATTACAATATTACTACTTAAATATTGCTACAAGCTGCCTTTTTATCAACAACAAATAAGGTAAATGGGGATCTGAATCAGGAGACACTTTCAGAAAACATACTTTCTTACCTTTGCAATGTCCGTTGACTTGCGTTTCTCCTGGAGAGCAGAATCTGGATCCGATTTCTGGAGCAACTAAGACTAGAGTTAGCTGTAACCCTTCTAATAAACATGTTTAAAAATAATTGAAAATCCCAGAATGTTCACCTTTTGCACAGTATCCCATGCAGCCCTGCGTCGGCTGCAGATAGTAGACCAGGAACTCACCACAGTTCCTCACGGTGACAGGGATGCGGAATAGGCAGCAGTCTTTTGTGCTGCCTTGGAAGAACTGCCATGTGGCGCAGGCGGAGAGCTGACGGACCTGACCAGGCCGCGGTAGTGAGGTGTCCTTCAGTGACAGCCACACCGGAGCCTGAGTACCACATCGGTTCATCTGTAGGAGAAGCAGTCAGCATCTTAATGAAAGGGTTAATTATTCCCTGCACCTGGGCTGAAGGTGCTTATTAAACCAGGCTGCCTGAGGAAATAGGTCTCATGCTGATGTGGGCACACAAACAAATCAGTGGGCTGAAATGTTGCTGTCCTACCTCAACACAAGTAGTCGGCATGTCTGCCGGCTTGTTGTTGACTCTGAACCGGTACCAGCCAGGCATCAGTGAATGGTCACAGATCAGATCCTGGATTGCCGTGTTCTGGATCTCTGTGGAGTCAAAGTCAACACTACGGTACGGATTACGCAAAATCCGATGTCCTCCTGGGTAGCACTCTGGAGGAACAGCTGAAATGAGCAAAAAACACAAAGAAAGTGGAAAAAGAGACTTTAAGTCAGGGTTATTTATCTTGTATACACCTAAAAGAACACCCTCCAAAGTAGTTTGCCATATCTAGGCTTATTTTGAATGAAAGGTTAGTGTTACTTCCCAAAAACTGTTCTCCAAACTCTGCCTGTTTGAGTTCCTGAAAGCTGACAGGTCTAAGATCAGTCTTATGACAGGTCTTAGATCAGGTTTAATCTCTGACGAGGTCCTGCTGTTTGGCTCAGACCAGACCGACCTTCCAGAGGTAGACGAAACAACATGATGTCATCACAACCATGACACTGATCCTCCTCTGAGATTTTAACTCACTCAACAGAGTTAACACTTTCATTGTTACAGATCAGAGGATGTGTCTAGATGATCAAACAAGAATTAACGAGTGAATTAAGTAGTACCGGGAATGGGCGATCAAACTCAATAGAACAAGGATGAAACTTTTAAATTCTCAATTCAGTTAAATTCACTTTATTTATGTAGAAACCAAATCTCAACAAGAGTCATCTCAAGGCACTTCAGAGCAAACATTCCAATTAGATCTACTTATTAGTGTTCTGAGTTCAGTTCATTAAGCCCATCAGTAAGAAGTTCCCTACATAAGGAAACCCAGCCAGTTGCATCAAGTCACTGACTTGTGTCGTAGACTTTACAGCAATCCTCAACATGCCTCCATCTAAAAAGGCTAGGTTAACCAGTGTTATCTCTGTAGTTATGCTGCTATAGGCTTAGACTGCTGGAGGATACACTGACCACTTTCCACACTCTACTACTTTCTTCTACAGTCTGCTCTTTAACTGTATTACTTTCTGCTATTTCAGCTGTTAACTTTATTTTCTCTCTAAGCGTTTTTCTCCCCAGAAGAAGCTACAACGATGTTCTGCTGAGCTGTGGTGGCCTCATGGAGGGGGCCATCGTCTAGCACGCTGCTGCTAACCACTTAAATATTCTCCCTCTCCTGATAATAACTTTTTGTTTCCTTGACGTTGGATGTGCTACTACTAGTTTACCCATTTAATTATAGATCCACTAGGATAAATACAATAAAGTTTATCTCTCACCAAATAGAATATTTACTAAGAAATCACGGTGTGACCATGGACACATTGCTTGGTGTGTGTGTGTGTGTGTGTGTGTGTGTGTGTGTGTGTGTGTGTGTGTGTCTGCTCTGTCTTCTCGATCCCCAGTGAGTCGTGGAGGATGGCTGCTTATACTGAGCCAGGATCCTCTGGAGGTTTCTTCCTGTTAAAAGGGAGTTTTCCTCTCCACAGTCGCTATATGCTTCCCTTCTTTTTCTCCTTTTTTAAATGCAATTTTATTGCCTTTTTGCAAAAAGGCCAGGAGACTACAGATTAAACTGCACTGTCCCCTTTTAAATAAACGATAAAAAAATAAAATAATGTAAAACTTTATCAATAAAACACTAAAACAATATTGTAATCAAATTTTCAGCTCTCCAAATTATTCTGACTAATTTACAATTTAACAGTCTTAAAATCTTAAGTCTTGTGGCTGTTTTCATACTAAATTTATGAGCTACAATTATAGAAAAACAGATTGACATATTGCTTACATTATGTAACAGTACAGGGTCAAACTATCACTTTTAGGGATTTAAAAAAAGATATCATACATAAAGATGTGGACAAAATTGTTGGTACCATTCAATCACTGAAAGAAAAACCCACAATGGTCACATTGCCCACTATTTTGTCCACGTCTGTAATTCCTGAAAGGGGGAAAACTCCGGGTTGCTGCTTTAACAAACAAATTCACCTTTTTTTGTTGCAGATAAAATGGCGCGAATCTTTTAAAATCTGACAATTCATGATAAATAATTAAAAACATTTTTTGAAGTAAATATGACTACAGGAATAAATTCAGTCGCGTGAAGACATTCCAGTTTGTCCTGAATTTCGTCAGGACCAAAAGCTCCAGCAGCTGGAGGCTCGAACAACTTGTTGTTTTTCTTCACAGCAACACGTTCCTAAAGGTTCTCCAAATGGTGAGTGAGAAGGTTGTCACCACAAGTCTTTACCGGGCCAGAGGAGCAGGTTTTTTTTTAGAGGGAAAACAAACATTTGGGATGTTTTCAGTCCCTCAAAGTTGTGAAACGACTAGCGGTGATCCCTGAACGTCAACAAGGCCGGTCTTCCCGGTGGAAGGAACTCAAAGGTCATCCAAACAACGGAGGATGAGTGTCGACTAAACCCTGGCTGCTGGCTTAATGAGTTTACAGAGCCAGAGGGGGCTAATAAACCCACCCCCACCCCCCAGGGGGAGAAAAAGGATCCCACTGAGAGGGAAGGCCATCAGCAGCCCAGATGTTCAGGGAATTCAACAGTTTCAGGAAAGAATAATCTGGGGTATTGTGGCCTTAACACAACTGACCTTATGGATTCAATTCCTAGAAGGCTTGTTAGTGACAATCCCGCTAATCTAAAGGAGAGGTTCCTGAGCCTGACTGGAAAACGGATTTTATTTATGTGGAAGTAATGAAATAATTAAAACTTCTAGACAAACAATGTTTCTGTGGTTGTTAGTTTATTTTGATGAGGTGGGAAGCAGGTATCGTGCAGCTGAGAGGCACAGGAACTCTGGAATAAAGGAATTAAGTGGGAGGGAATGTGTCTGGAATGTTGAAATTCCCACGTGAAGGATCTGGTGTTTAACGACAGGGGCTGAACTGCGGTTGTTGTGATGTTCTTGACAAAAAATAAATAAGTAAATAAATAAAACAGATTTTATTCCAGAACTCCCAAAACTTGCTCTGGTTCTGGGTTATAAAAGAAACTGATCTAGAAATAGAACCATCCAAACAGAACTCAGGAGTGAAAAGTAGCGCTCCCTAGTGGCTGGTTCCAATTTAGGCATTAAGCTCCGCCCACTTTATGTAAAAAAGTGGATTTTTTTTTCAGTTTAAAGGGATTCTTTTGTTTTTAAATAATTTTCTGTTGTCCCCGCCAGGACAATAGGGGGCATAGCGCTATTCTGAGGTATCCTGTCACCATTACAGTCACATATAATTATATAAAATGAATAGTGTATTTACCATTGTGTTTAGATTGTTTTAATGCATTTCAGAGATTTTTTTAACACAGACAAATTTGTCCCTCATGCCTCTCCACTTCTTCATGTGATCGGCACCTCAAAACCCACATTTCTCGTCATTTCCGTCCACAAATAAAACGCTCGCTGCATCTTTGGACTCCTTCAGTCACGGGTCAATAAACGTTCATGTTTTCAGATATTTTTCGCGATGCGTTCTTCCATCTGTTTCGTGTCTGCCGCTAAATATCTCTTTACTTTTTGAAGAGGCAAAGACGATGCTGTTGACAAATTTACAGGAAGCGGCGTCTTGACCAATCACAAATTTGCGGTATCCGTCTCTTTTGACAGATAGTAAAACATTTGGGCATGTCTCCTTCACCCTCTGTGAGCCAGTCGGAGGGCTCTTGCATCAACGCATAACGGCGTTGCGCGCCTCCATACCGACAAAGATGGAGAAGTCTAAATTAGACTTTAGAAAAAATGGAGCTGACATACCTGGCGCTGCAGTCTGATCCAGCACGTTTGCTGCATGTTTTAGATTGTGAACACAGCTGATTTGTTTATTTTAGTGATGCATCACTCCTGTAGACACTAATGAATGCTGGGAGACACTTCAGTTGTTAGATTAAGGTGTTAAAAAGACAATCGCACAGCGAGGAGTGTGCATTGACGAGGCAAGGCTACCGAACACTGGCACCACCAGTCCCTCCGACCACCACCAGCAGGCAAGGTGGGTTAAGTGCATTATTATCTGGCAGGATCTGGGATTGGACCTACAGCCTCCTGATAACTGGGAAACCTGCTCTATCTCCTGAACTGTTGCTGCCCCGAAAAGGTCAAAGGTCAGACATTCTCCTTCAAGTGTGCTGCTAGAGCAGATCTCCGTCAGTTACCCCAGACCATCACACTACCACCACCATGTCTGGCTGCTGATCTTTTAGTTTTAGGATATTTCCCCAGAAGACTCTTCAGATCTTGTTCTGGGTTCTTTAGTTCTTTAGAACAGGCCCTGATGTGTTGGGCTACTTTTTATTTAATAATTTTTTTTTAGATCTTTAACCTATTTCGGGTTCTATTGAAGTGATTTCTGAGCAGGTCTTAGTGTGGCTGGTGGAACTGAACTCAGATCTGGTTAATTCATGACCTAACTAGGGCTCACTTATGTAATCACACAATGTTCCTGCAGAAGAATTTAGTCAAGTTGTAGTAAATTCTCTAAAGGCCCGTAAATCCATCAGCAGGTCAGAATGTAACCCCCCCCCCACCACCACCACCACCACCACACAAGGTTTATGGTTGTTTGCTTTGATCTGTGTGATGCCCTACAGACGGAGATCTGAGCTGGATAGAGCTGACCCAAACATCACTATAACATAAATTCCATTAAAATGTCCAGATGGAAAAGAGTTTGTTGATTGGGACTGACTTTGTCTGGTCCAAACTACCAAAACTGACATTTATTTCATCCATCGTTAATTTAGATTAAATCAGAATAACGTCCTGCAAGATTAAGTGGAAACATCAGACGTCAGACTCTGGTTTGAGCCCATGTGTGATGTTTTCAGTTCCGCAGCTGAGTTATCCGGATCAACATTTAGCTCTGGTTCCTTTCACTCACGCAGATCAAAACGCGCTAAATCTGACTCACACCTACCATGTTGCGCGTGCGCTCCGTGCTGCGGCACCCAAAGTAGCGCGATGCGTAAAACTCCCAGTGCCAAAGCACGAGCGCAAATGTCCATCATGTCTGCGGCTGATCCCGTCACTCTGCGGGTCCCATGAGAGTTCAGAGAGAGGAAAGAGGCGCAAACTGCTCCTGCTCCAGCTGTGGTCTGCGCTCCGCTCTCCGGAGACTGCGGGTTCCCTGTGCGGATCGCAGACGGTGAGGGAGAGAGGGGGCGGCTCGTTCCTGTAGGAGGGTCTCTGTAAACATCCGGAACATCACCGGAGAACAGTTTGGTTCCAAATGGACCGGAATGTCTCCGAACCTCAGGCTTGTTCACTCGCGGATGGAAACATGAAACCTGCGCGTGCAGCAGGAGACGGAAACCCTGAGATAAGAATAATATTCAAACCAACTTTATTAAACCCTTATGCCCTCAAGGAGGTTTTTCTTTTTTTGCATTTTCCATTTTCTGAATTTATTATTATTATTAATAATAATAATAATAATAATAATACATATAATGTATAATACATCCATAATAGTTTATGATCATTTATTATTTATTCAAATATCCAATATTTTCCTTTAGTTGTTTAAGTTTTCTCCATTTAAGTTCTGTTATTGATTGTCAGATAGAAATATCCTATATCTGCAGATTTCAGGGTCTATTTACAAAAAAAAAAACATTTCAGTGGAAAAATACAGGAGATTCAAGATGTGGAACACTAAAAAACTTTTTCTTGATTATTTCGGATTATAATCAATCACTGAGTCTTTCATGCAGGTTGAACTTGAAAATGGTCTCCTACACCTATCTCCTACGTTAGCTTCTGATAGAAAATAGACAGTGAAATGCTAGAATTTGAAAATTCTCACATATCTATGTCACACTGTGAATTTGCATTCTGTTGGCTTGTGCCCGCCCACAGGTAGGCGTTTAAAAAAAAATGCAGCGAGGAGAGAGAGAGCGGAGAGTGTTTTGTTGACGGTGACTTTGCAACATAGCTGAACTGTTCTGTTACCCAATCAGAAGCGAGACGTGTGCATATGAGGAGAGTCCCCAACCCTACCTCTCCACCTAGTGGACACTTATGTTATGTAATGTCTGAAGTCTGTTGCATTTCTGTCTGAGGTGTTTTTTGCATAGCAAAGCTGCCCTCCCTGTGGAGGGTAACTCTGAAGTGCCTTTATTTCCTCCACCTGACCCAATCCTCATATAAACCCTCTGATCTCTATTAAGGTAGCGCGACTCGGGTTGCGAATGACCACAGTCACCAATTCTTGTCCAGAGTCTATGCCTATGTCTGTATGTCTGATCTCAGAATTGTGTGTACTGAAACTCTAATTTCCATCCATCCATCCATTTTCATCCGCTTATCCGGAGTCGGGTCGCGGGGACAGTGACCTAAGGCGAGAGGCCCAGACTTCCCTCTCCCCAGCCACTTGGGCCAGCTCCTCCGGCCGAATCCCAAGGTGTTCCCTGGCCAGGTGAGAGACATAGTCTTTCCACCGTGTCCTGGGTCTACCTTTAGGCCTCCTCCCGAGTGGAAGAGCCCAGAAAACCTCACCAGGGAGGCTTCCAGGAGGCATCCTGACCAGATGCCCGAGCCACCTCAACTGGCTCCTCTCGATGTGGAGGAGCAGCGGGTCTACTCCGAGCCCCTCCCGGATGACCGAGCTTCTCACCCTATCTCTAAGGGAGAGCCCAGCCACTCTTCGGAGAAAACTCATTTTGGCCACTTGTATCCGCAATCTCGTTCTTTCGGTCACTACCCAAAGCTCATGACCATAGGTGAGGGTAGGAACGTAGATCGACCGGTAAATCGAGAGCTTCGCCCTCTGACTCAGCTCTCTTCACCACGACAGACCGATACAATGCCCACAAGGTACCATTTTCTGACATGCAGACAGGGCAGGGGGCTGCATCTGAATACATCTTGGAATCGTGAGCGGAGAACGATCTTTGATCAGCCACTAGAATATTTCAGCTCAGGCTGCAGCTCACATTGGGTGCATACGGTGAGTTTCTGCCCTCGTCAGGGGAAAAATATCTGCTGAGCAAACGCCTTTGAATGACTGTTAGCTTAGCAGCTTGCTCTCATGTGCGGTAGGCTTAAGGCATTGATTCACACAGGACACTGCAGATGTTGTGAACAAACAAGTAAACCACACCTTTAACCATCAGGTAGAATTTGTTTGTAACAAATAAATCACCAGCTGCCATGGATTATGAATAAAAATACTTTCGCCATAGTGGCACTTTCAAAATTTAAATGCTAGTTTTGAACATCAGACTAATTTAGAGTAAAAATCTAAAAGAATCAAGTTGTGAAGAATATTGCTAAGATTTGTGTTTCATGATTTAATGTTTCAGATTAGAGAAAAGATTCAATAAAGGACCAAATTAACCTGAGTCAGCATAAGAACATTTATCCAAATCAACCTTATCCAGTCTGTGTGCCCCATCTAAACCAGCAACAGTCAAACATGGTGGTGGGTGTATGATGGTCTGGGACTGCTCTGCAGCTTCAGGACCTGGACCACTTGTTGTAATTTAACTCATGAAACATGAGCTCTGCTCTCCAGCAGAACATCCTAAAGTAGAATGATTGACCTTTGACCTTAAACAGCGTTCATGGTAGAAAACCCTCTGATGGGGCAGAATTCCCCCTTAGAGACGTCATCACAAACACTTATGCTGTCTGCTGTTTTAGTTCAGGTATTTTCTTTATTTCTGAAACATTTAAGCACCTATTATTTATTGTGTCTACATATTTTCCAACGACTTACAGTTTTTTTCGATTGCTAAAATGCGTTTTTCAAAACTGTACGTTTCTTTCAAAACTGCACACACAAAACCCCAAACATAACACACAAATTCCTAAACCGTGGCTTCCCTTTGCAACAAAACCCTGCCGTCACACATCGTAACATGTTCCCAAAATGGAACACGTGTTTTCATTTGGTAAACACAGCCGCATTTTCACATGACACACACATATCATTCATTGCTTAAACACATGTAGCCTTTGGGTGAACACTACCAAGCATGGAAAGAACGCTGAAGAGCAAAACTGAAAACACAATTGTCTAAATGGAACACAATGAATTACACACTGAATGTATGACAGTGCCCACTTTTCTCTGGGACAAACATTAGACATCACACAAATTTTGAGACAAAACATTTTATTTTTACAGTTAACCCCCCCCCCCCCCCCCCCCCCCCCCACACACACACACACACAAGCATAATCATGGGGCATAATCATGAGGCATCATGCCGCCGGTCTCTGTCTGGCCAGAGGGCCTCATCAACATCACAGGCGATGTCCTCCTCGTCCAAACAGCTCTGGAAGTACCGCCCCGAGTGCCTCATGAAGCCCTGACAGGCCTCAAAGGCCACATCTCTACAAGCCTCCTCCATGGCTTGAATCAGTGGGACCTGGCTCTGTGGATTCCTTTCGTACACCTTCCACCTCCAGGCTGAGAAAAACTCCTCAGTGGGATTGACGAAGGGGGAATAAGGTGGAAGGTATAAAATGGAAAACTGTGGGTGGTCCTGAAACCACTCATACACCTGGGTAGCCTTGTGGAAACTTACTTTTATGCTGCAGTCCTCGATTGCAAATTGCTCGCCAGACCTGAAAGTTGAGAGATTTGAATATTTGTGTGTTGTTGATTGAAACTTTGAGAATTCAAGTGAGAAGTGTGTGTAAACCTGAAAATTGTGTGTTGTGTTTTGACAGCAAGGTAATGTGAAACTGACATCAGAGTGTAAAGGAGGAAAATCAGAGTTCTATTATGATAAGGAAATCTTAAGTTGTGATAAATTGAGTCAAGCGATTGGGAACAGAAGTAGAGGTTGTGAAAATTGTGCCTCATCTTTGCTTTTTGAGTTTTAGCAATCGAAATAAACTGTAATAACCAGATGAGATTAATCCCTTCACATCTGCTCAAGTGACTGAGTGCTGCCCTGCAGAGCCAAGACCCAGGTCAGCCTCCTGAGTTTGGAGTTAACATCAGGTCCTGGAGGCCAACGAGGAATCCCCCCCCCCACCCCCCCACCCCACCACCACATACCTTTCCACTAAATAAGAGACCTGAGAGGAGCAGCAGGTGTTCTGAAACTCTGTTTAACTCTGAGAAAGTCTCACAGATGTAATTTTCACATCATAGGAGGCAGATGTTAAATTTTCGAGCTTCGTTAAAAAAAATCCAAACATTTACTGAGTTAATGTCACAAAATGTGTCATAAGACTTTACTTTTAAAGTCAAGTAGAAGCTTTCTAAAAAACAGACATTTCCAGAAACTTAAGCAAGCCTCGTTGCAGTTTTTACCAATAATTATAATAAAACATTAGAAACAAAAACATTGGATTAAAAAAGCTTGAATCGAATAGTGAAACAACAGAGATAAAAAAAAAATACTGAAAGCTTTGTTTCCTGTAAGCATTTTAGAAACTTTGAGTTTTTATTCCTGAGATTTCTGTTTTTTTACTGTAACTCACTCTCTTACTGCAGGCTGAATTTCATTCTAACATTTCCTGGTCTCCCAAATAACGGGAATCTTTGTCCACAATGATTCAACTTAATCCATCCATCCATTTTCATCCGCTTATCCGGAGTTGGGTCGCGGGGGCAGTAGCCTAAGGAGAGAGGCCCAGACTTCCCTCTCCCCAGCCACTTGGGCCAGCTCCTCCGGCGGAATCCCAAGGTGTTCCCTGGCCAGGTGAGAGACATAGTCTTTCCACCGTGTCCTGGGTCTACCTTTAGGCCTCCTCCCGAGTGGAAGAGCCCAGAAAACCTCACCAGGGAGGCTTCCAGGAGGCATCCTGACCAGATGCCCGAGCCACCTCAACTGGCTCCTCTCGATGTGGAGGAGCAGCAGGTCTACTCCGAGCCCCTCCCGAATGACCGAGCTCCTCACCTTATCTCTAAGGGAGAGCCCAGACACTCTTCGGAGAAAACTCATTTCCGCCGCTTGTATCCGTGATCTCGTCCTTTCGGTCACTACCCAAAGCTCATGACCATAGGTGAGGGTAGGAACGTAGATCGACCGGTAAATCGAGAGCTTCACCTTCTGACTCAGCTCTCTCGTCACCACGACAGACCGGTACAACGCCCGCATCACTGCAGATGCAGCACCAGTCCGCCTATCGCTCTCACGCTCCAGTTTTCCCTCACTTGTGAACAAGACCCCGAGATACTTAAACTCCTCCACTTGGGGCAGGACCTCATCCCTGACCCGGAGAAG